AATTGCACACCTGATGTGGACGGTATGGTTTCAAACATATTGTGAATCTTTTAAGTCAAAGATTTTTAAAAATTGCATAACTGAACACACAAATGATTTTATCTAACCCCAAACTATCAAATACACTTATCCTTCTATTGTAGATCCAAATCCAAATCACATACTTTGAGATTACTGGTGACCCGTTTCCTAACATCTACTCCATGCTTCCTTTTTTTTTCCTGTCACACCGTTACTCGGCTGTGTCTGCCGTCAGCGAGGTATGAAAAAGCAGGAATTAGCAACTTTGTCATACTAATAGACTTACAGAGACACTTGCAGCAATGCTCGGGATTTAGTGGTATCCTCCATGTACCAGGATGGCCTGTGTGTGTGTGTGTTTTCAGTCAATGAACACTAAGTGACACACTCAGCCACTGCAGATGTTTTCCCTCTGCGTACAATGGACCTCCTCCGGTCACAACATCTGAACATCCTTGATTTGACACGCAGCACTGCTCATCTGCTCCCTTCCACTCCTATATACTGTATGTGTGGCATGAGCGGTCCCTCGTCATACTGTGTCCATAATGCATGTAGATCTGTGTGTGTGTGTGTGTGTGTGTGTGTGTGTGTGCATGAGCTGAAGAGACATGCTCAGAATGTTGAGTGTGTGTGTGTGTGTCAAGTTGGCCTGCTTTTACATACAGATTGGAGGCACATTAAGTTCATGTCACTGGTAGCTAGTCTCAGGGGAGCAGAGAACTGATATGTGTGTGTGTGTGTGTGTGCTCTCGTACAACGATGCCCTCTGACACACTTAAGTGCAGCTGAGCAAAATACACAAAGATGTGACAAGTGCGGCCACACACTGCGCTGTATGTGTGTGCATGTATGTTAGGAGAGCTAGGAAGGCCTGAAGTGTAACATCATAGGACATGCTGTCTCACGATGAAAGAAAGAATCATTAAATCATTTTTGTTTTCGCTCCATTTCACAATAAGTCTTGAAACAAGGAGCAAACAGGAAGGGGAAGCTCACTCAAACACTATTAAGAACATGCCTCTTGATTAAGAAAGTACTTGAAACGAGATGATTTGAATTGGAAAGAATTGTGTTTATCTGCACTGTGAGCACAATTCCCCCAGCTGCTTTTCAGACTTGAAACTTTGCTCACTGCAACACTTATAAAGATGTTTGTGTTGTTTTCCCCCCAGTGCAGATGTGTCTCTGTGTTTTGCTGTCATCTATGCATTATACTGGACAAACCATGTAAAACAGATAATTAAACAACTCAATTACGATTCGCTTGGAATCATTAATTCGGGACAACACAATTTTGCTTTTGACGGTAACACTGGCCTCGAAGGTGGTAGACTGGCAGGAGTGGCCAATAGCGCCGCATCAGAGTGTGTTCGCTGGCTGTGGCCGTGCTGATGTGGGTGTTTTATGAATATTCTGCCTACACTGTTACACTTTGCCCAGTGCAATAACGCCTGTGACAGACAGGCTGGCAGACAAATCTCATCCCCGGTATCTGGAGAGCCTGTGGTCAGGGCATATTACTGATGCCATATGAGGATCACGTCATAAACTCACAGTTGAGTAGCTACAACGGAAAGTACTTCACCCGAGAATGTGATTAAAGGGGAAAAAAAAAAAACTTTGCCTCAGTATCTAACCATAAAGCAAGGAATGCATATTTATGTATATGTGCACGTGTATCGTTTGCATATCTGGAGAACCGTTCAATGGATCTACATCAAACATGATGGCTCTATTTGCTGGGGACACGAGGACGCGCAGTGTTTGGTACATTTTGGACACACGACGCGTTCAATGCAAAGAAACTTTGAATAAACGAGAGGCGGGAGGAGCGGTTTAAAATATTATAGTGACATTAGAAAAAGAAAAAATTCAAAGGATTTTTGACAAAGTCACCTATCAAACCAACCAGATATGTTTGCCTTTCCCCTATAGGAATAGTCTAAAAATATTATCGAAAAGTTGAAGGTATTGAAATGATAAACCAGGTTGACTAACGCTCCACATTTATTTTTCTTTCTTTTGAGAGCATTTCCCACCTGCATACATTTCTATCCAGCCCTGCTCAATAAAACCAGACTCTAACACATCCCTGCTGCTTTCAAGACAGTGACACATAATCAATCAGAAATATTGCAATTAGTTTTGAATGTGCATCGGGAAAAGGTTGAATAAGCTGTCTAAAGAAATAAAACCAGTAACGTAGCTGTGTGTGAGATGCATTTTCTTATTCTCAGGATTTCCAAATGGATGACAAAGAAACCCAAATGTTCATATCATAAAATTATTCCACTGGCGATTGATTAAAGAAGAATATAAAAGCATTGTCTAGCTTTAATCCTCACTTTACCACCCTGATTCTTGAATGGTAAAAGAGAAATGGTCACTGGTGACAATTAATAAAATAATACACAGCAAAAAGATCATGTCTCGATGTTGTCTGAGGACAAACATTCTTGGTCACACTACCAACACTTGCTTTGAGACAATAACATCATGGGAGCATAGTAACTGGGAATGAATTGTTTTAACATGCTCAAGTATGAAATGCATCCAGTGAGAGAAGATTTATTGTTGTGCTGTGATTCATTCGTTCCACCGCTGAGCGCTCTAATTCCCTCGATCCCTTCATGTTTCAAAAGGGTGAGGATCCTCAAGTAAAAGACACTGCCAAGAGCCTAATCCCAATGTGATGTGTTAACATATGCAAGCACTGATCATCTATAGGACCCGCGCCGCTGAGACAAAAGAGAAGAGCAATCCTCTGACTTGGCTGCAGCCACGGGGAATAGAAATGAGTCACGTCTGCACAACAGCGCTGCCATGTGCTTGTAAAAATTGGATGAACCCGTTCCTGCAATTTTTAACACGTTGTCAACGTTCGAGTGAAGGAATGAGGGGAACGTGACAAAAGCAAATGTGGTGGCAAACACCGCACTGTAGCCATTTAAGGTCAGTAGCTTTAATTGGAATAGTTCCAAGTTAATACTGCAAATGTACTTTGGAGACGCTCTCTTTGAGCTTTCCTCCTTGGACAAACATCATGTGACATACCTGTATATGTTATATGGGGGATATTTTCAGACATGTTCCACCACATATGGATTCAGCTTTAGTTGATATGCAGTATGGGAAAGCAATCAAAAGCCTGCTTCCCTTAAACCACTGCACTGTCAGTCATCTGGATTGAGCCTTGGCCTTATTATTGTGGCTCCAGAACTCCCATGCTAATACAGGACTATAAATCATTCTAATTTGATGGTCCCATGTGGTCAAGTCTGATGCATTGCTGTGCACTTCAGAAAGCTGCATTGAACTAAACATGTGACACACACACACACACACATAGAGAAAGCAATAGCCTAACCTCCCAAGCCTTTTAAACAAGTCCACTGAGCCACCATATGTCGTTGTGTAGAGCCGACTAATGAGCCAATACAGAGAGAATGCCCTTTACCTACTATATATATATCTCATATATCATATGTTGAGTTTTGATGGATTGTTGGACAAAGCAAGCAGTTTGCAAACATTATCTTGTGTTGACTATTTCCCAATGAAATGATAGTTAGTGAAGGTAAACATGGTGTTTTTTTCACACGTGGTAATATTCCCTTCATGACATGGTCTTACTGTGCCGGAGCTTATCAGTGTATCATGTGTCTGTATCCTATAAAACTGTGAAGATCTTAATACCCCCCCAAAAAGCAACTACAGACCCAGAAAGCAACTACAGACAACAATAGTCCAAAGAAATGCCTGCGGAGAGAAATCCTGTGCGATGGAAAAGTGCTCTGCATTCACAAATATTGTTATTTCTCTCCACGATGGGCAAATAAGTGTTGCCCCTTAATTTGGTCCTGAATGGCGGAGAATGGCGACAAAGTAACACGACTCCAAATCAAATCTCATGGCTCTATTTTCTGCGTGATTACACACTAACTCTGAGCTGACTGATTGTCTACCTCCAGAAAACGCTGCCAATGTCTCTGAATAGAGGATTGTTGGATTGGTGCCGCCCGTCTCTATTCACGGCGGCCGCCGTGGCAAAGGGGAGAGTGCTAATGGTGATGAACAGTAATGGCCAAAAGCTCTTAGAATTGAGCTTGTGAATTACAAGAAAGCCTGTGCTGAGTGCAACTGCTCAAGAGTACATTATTCTCCTGTTTTTATTTCAGTGTAACAAATATCCTAAATCATTTGCTTTGATTGAAGTATGAATGTTTGTGTGGGATTAGGCTCCTATCTTTTAGTAGGATGTGTTTCAAAGTTCCCCTTGTCCTTGCCACAGACAACCTACACGTTAATGAAAGCTTCTGCCAATATGAGCTAGGAAGCCAGGAATTTCACCACATTATAGAGCTCACAAATCAAACAATTGTCTACCTCCACCATCAGGCAAGTGGAAAAGGAAGATAGCACGAATCCCCCCCCCAATTTATTTTCTTGTTTTTTTATCTTAGCTGCCGTTTCGCTTTCCTCAGTCTTCTTGTGCTTTATTGCTGTCCAGTCTCTTTCATCTCACTCCTTGCTCTTTCACATTTTCAGAAAGAAGGACTGGTGAAGGCCTGAGATTTATGGATTTACCAATTGCACCTAATGGCTTATTGTCCCCCAGAGGAGGATAAAGAAATTATTTAGCATATAAAGCGAAGCAAAGGGGCCTCATACTGTTAGAAGATGCACTGTGGACCAACGACCAGTGCTCTTTTGGCCAGAGATGAGACACTCCATTAGATATCACCAGGGGAGGACTTGAAAATAGCTTTACTTGTGCCCACAGGGTTCCACAAAATGTTATTTACCCCAACTATATTACTGTCACACTGCCGGCAAAACAAGCCCAAAATGGTGGAAGACTTCCTCATGAATGCTTCCTCCAGTTCAAGGCAAAGCAATATACGCAGCAATTTACATTGGATAGAAATGGAGAGAGCAGTAAACGGTATGTCGCTCGAGGTGCTGAAGGAACTTACCTTAATACGCATGAATAGTAACCCACATCATCCAACTCTGCTGGTCGAAACCATATGGCATCCTCCTCCTTGCTCATCCTTGTGCCGTCAAAACTGATGGGTTCCTCGAAGTCCCCGTGTCCTGCACTTTTGTACCACATGAGGCTAAGTCCTGCGCTCTGCGCATGGGTGTAGTTGGCCCGGATATATCCATAGAACAAAGCGCACTTAATCCGTACAGGTTCCCCCAGAAGCACCTTGTATTTCAGGTAGTCCACTGACCAATCCATGCAGCCTTCCACTGAAAGAAAAGGACAGAGGACAGGAGAATTAAGCAGGAGTTACTATAAAAGGTTGGGGTTTTTTTTGGAGCCAATGCACATCATCATCAAGCCAAGCAGAGGCTATTCGTAATCATGAAAAGGGTATGCGGCAACCAAGACAAGACCACTTTCAGTGCTGGCATCAGTCTGTCTGTTCATGCGCTTTGCCAGCAATCTTTGTATCACTATCAATCAAGATGCTTTTTCACTCCATGCAGCACTGAGGCACGGTGTCTCCTTTTTGTTTTTCACAAGGACACACAAACTTTAATTCTTATACAGACCTTAACTTATGACTTGTTAAGTGTGGCTAAATGAAAAGACAGATCAAGCAGGCATCCTTATAATGTGTGGATGTGTTAGTATAGTGTTTCATTACCAACATTCTTTCCAATGTTAAACTGAACTCTCAACAAATCTATCGCTGCATTCATTCGTTCTTTCCTGCCTGCCCCTGCCTTCACCTATAAACACTAGTGTGTATTTGACTCGTGTGTCACCATCTCATTCATAAATTGAGTATAGAGCCACCGCCAATATCTGTTTAAATGGCAGTGATGGCACTCGTCTACATTTGACCTGAGAAAAGGAGAAGCTGCAGTGAATCTGCAGACCCTTTCAGACCATCTTCAGATCTCAAAGGTTGTTTTCAGTCAAATAAATGGAAAGAAAAGCAGCTCATCTACTCAGCACACGTCAGGGCAGAGCAACGGGGGTCTCTACAATGAGACAATTAGTGAAGCCCACCAACTGTAAGTCAAGAAAAGTTACAAAGATCAAATAATACTGCATTATCCATGCACAGCAGGCAAAGGGGTGGTTTTGATCCTCAGGCTTTTAACCATCTTTGGGTATATAAATAATTCATTCAAAAACAAACCAAGTATTAAATTGATAGTAAATCAGTAAAGTAGATCAGATCAATTCCCCCTGCAGGATCTCCATGTTAGGATGATGTAGGAATGACAACTTTACAATAGGGTCCAAAGTAAAATGACTTCATTCACTATATTAACAATATCTTAGGAATCAGATAAAAGCTACTCGTTTGCAGAGGAGAGACTTTTGGCCACTTTTCCTCCAGATAAACTTTGATCAAAAAGCTTATTTGTCTCTGCACTTTTTCTGGGTTGTATATTTGACAAACAAACTGGGCCCACACCGAATGAAAAACAAGCTGTCTGCCTGCTCTTGCCTGATCCATTTTTTCCCTTCCTGTGCCTGACATCCTCTTTTCCCTCGCCTCACCTCGCTGCATCGCTCTTCCTTTAAAAAACAGCTGGCAAGCACAGCTGCCGAAGACTCAACAGGCTTCGCTAATTGAGCCTCTATAAATGTTTTATTTACCAAAGAAGCAACTCGGGCACCAATCAGCGAGGTGCAGTGCGCACCTCGCTGATTGGTGCCCGAGTCGTTGGGGGTAACGGGGGGAGGGATGTTGGCGGGGAATTGATTAAATCATGCTGATTTATGTCATTGTGCTGTATTGTGTGGTGCAGTAAGGGTCACGCTGGGAGCGGCAGCAGCAGCACTGGTGGGTGTTTTAGGGCCCGCAGACAAGAGGAAAAGCTGCAATGGAGTTCAACAGCAAAAGACATCAGTTACCAAAAACTTGCGGTGAGAGATTCTGGTGCCAATCCGTCAGAGTCATAAAAGCAAGCAGTGCAGAGTTTATATAATTAGTATTACTACATTCATCTTCAAATTACCACACTGGATACATGGAGCCAGCATAGAAAAACGTGTTGAAAGGCTTCCTGAGAAATATAGGATAACAGTTTAACCGAAGAGCAGGTTAGAGAAAAAAAACATAAGGTACAGCACTTTATCATAAAGTAGTCCTGGAAGTCACTAAAGATAGATATGAACAGCTATTTGAGGGTGAACATTGCCTTTAATTTGCCCCGTAATTTGACTGTCAGGCAGATTTGACAGCTCATTCTACCGGTAGCAGCAGTGCAAAATCTGCAGCACCATTCCTGATCTGACATGATCCTAAATCAGCAACAATAAGTCGCTGTCTTCATTTCATGAGAATACTGCGCTCCGATACAGCGCTTTGCCGCCAACCTCGAAACCTCCTTTTGATTTCCTGGAGTAAGTGGGTCCTCCCACGAGCAACACAGGGAAAACACAACCTAAATTGAACAAACCAGAGGGAAGAGTGAATAACTAGAAGCAAAATTAAGCAAATGCAAACGCTTAAGAAGGCTGCGTGTGCTCTGCAAGCCGCCCGACACCACATGCCTTTCATTGTGATTAAGTCAAACTGTTGCCACGGCAACACGGGGTCCACCCTCGCTTATCAAGAACTTTGCCAATTAGTTTGTGGACGATAATAACTTGGAGGCTTAAGGTAAGACAACCACAGCCAAGATGGTCTCACTTCTAATCAAGTTTCCTAATTCGGAGTGTGAAATGTTTCACTCACACGACCTCTAAAAACAGCAGGGGAGCGGAAAAGGTCACGCAAGCAGGTGGCGGCTCAAACAGAGAACACCATTAGTTTGGCAAAAGTGTGCATGGAGTAAGCTTTCTGATAAGTCTCACACATCCTGTACTCTTCAAACAATTGGTTTTGTTGCTGCAGTGTGTATCAAGTCCAGTAGATCCAGTTATCCTATGCTGCAACGATGGTGCTCACTTCATTGAGCATGCATCCGAATAGAAATGTGAACCATGAAAGCTTAATATATGATACAATAAATCTCTTTTAGATTGATTTTGAGGTTTAGACAGTACAAGACACAACCACAACACAGCCTGCAGGATCCACCTTAGTTGACATTATACTTCAATGGTGCAAATTCCCAAACAAATAAGCAAATAATCAGATTACCAAAACCAATTGACCCAGGGGCTTTGGTGGGCCGTGGTTCCCTGAGTAAAAAGATTGAAGATTAAGAAAGATGAAACGATCTTAAAATATTTAAAGTTGTTAATATTAGCACCACCTACAACAGCCGCAAGATTCAAATACGGTTTACAACTGAATACAGCTCTGTTTATAATCTAATAGAGTGCTTCTTTGTAGGCCAACCAGGAATTTAGCTTCGAACTGGTTCCCTCAACATAATACAATCTTTCCATTGGATGTTGGACAATTGCAGATATAAGCTCTGTGGAAAGACAAAAGTGTATGGTACTTCCACATTTTGTTGAGCAAGATAATGTTCATAAATCTGAATACTTAGGACTAAGATTGAAAGGTATTTTATGTGGCAATATGCCCCACTAGATGACCACTCAACTGTTCTCTGCACACCTATATGCATTCTGTGTCAGCCCAGACAGAGAAGAAAAAAATAGCTTACAGTTGGGCTGCACAGACTGGATTCTGGACCCAGAAAGAAACACAGTAAACGCATTACAGCCTAAGAGCACACCGCATGGCTCAGCCGTTGCTTTCCCATCAGCACTGCAAATAAACACTCAGTCCACTCTTCTTTATTTTTTTAACAGCTGAACATTTTTCTCTCTCACTAAAGAAACTGTATGTCTCAAAGAATGAGAAAGCATTACTTTGATGTTGTCTGAGTACCAGATATTTGATACTTTAGTACAATACATCTTATGTAAAATAGCATAAATGCATCTCTACAGCTGGTTTAGTGACACATAAATAAATGTGCATGTTATAGTATTTGGACTAAATCATTTAATAACACATATATTAGTATGCATCTGATGAAAAGTGATAAAAAAAGTGTAATGTTTGATTACTCCTGAAAACATTATGCAACGTGTACAGTGGGTGTTTTCAACAGCGAGATTGGTTAAAGGATGCTTTTCAAACCACCCTAAGGCATTCGATTACTGCTCTGGGTTGTGAACGCATCCCCAGTTTCTCTGAGAACTTAAAGAAAACAATAAAAGTCCTAAATTAATTTCCTTTTAAGGGTGAACTCCAGCCAAGCTGTTTCAAAGGGCTGGCTGTATTTATCTCTAATGCCGCCACAAGGAGCTTGCAAGTGCCAGTATCCGTTATCTTCCACCTATCCTCAAATTGCCCGTTTCTTATTTTGACGGAGGGTTATCGTTCATTTCAGTAAGCGAGGGTGGGGATTCCGCTTAATCTGTTGGCAGGAAACAAACATGGTACAAAGCCTAATTGAACTCGATTAACATTTCCCAGCTCACCAGATTTCCATTCTGCTGGATCACAATTGGTGAGGGAATTGGCCAATCTGCTTTGTGAGAATAACAACTCCGGCGGCTCTTTCCGCGTCTTGGACCATCAAGCATAAGCAGCGTTTGCGGCTTTGCTACACACGACCCGTAAGCAAACAGTCAGCCGCTGTCCCCGAGAGCGTCCCGGGTCAGCTGGAAAAAAAATGGTAGCTGGTAACTGTCAGCTGTCAGCTGTTTTGCCAAATGATCACAGAACAAATGTTTCCACGTCGCCCCACATGGAAATCGAGATTTAATAGAGCCACATTCACCGACACCACATCGAAATGGGGTCTTAGCCATATCCCGATTTAACCACGCCATTAAACAAAGACACAGCCATTTGTCAGGCCTGTCTAGTTTTTATGTTTGTCATGTTTGTCTCATTTGTCCAACTGTGTAAAAGACTTTCATCCTCGTGAAATAAGCCAAAACCAAGGATGTGATTCATATGAAGAAGGAAAAATATGCCAAAAGTAATTGGATGCTAAGATGCATTTTTTTTCATGTTTAAATGTATTTGCAAAAAACATCACCCAAGGTTTAAACTCAAATGTAGCCAAATTATACTTTAGAATCAAGGTTAAGGCACAGGAAATTACGAAAAAGGTATTTTGATTCAAATTACACTTTAAAAATATAGATATTCACCGTTATTCAATGTTCATCGTATTAATTTGACCCTCACTCTGAGAGGGATCACACTGGAAACTGACCTAAAGTCATTTTCCACTTACCTAGGGACTTCTTTTTCTGAATTTAAAATGCAGTAAAACGCGTATCGTTTTGTAGAACCTGGTTTCCTATT